TATTCAAGTTAGCAAATTTTGTACACATGCCGTGCCACGTAAGATGGGATAAACGAGATGATAACTGTCCAGAGTAATTTAACAAACGTTAAAAAATCTGCATAATTAGGACCTAATTTGAGAATCACACAATGTTCAGGACTTAATCGAGCACAATACAATATTAATACCTTAATTAGGAATTTGGGGAAAGTCTGAGACCATTCATTCTACAAATACGATCGGAGCCAAACCAACTCAATTCCTCAAATCACTTACGGTTCACCAGACAATTCATTCTTGCTAGAGTTTGTCTTTCTTTAACAGCTTTTGTGCCCCTGAATCTCATCTTTGCTACCATAGGTAGCATATAAACAGGCTCATCTCACTACAAGAATCTTGGGATTTACCTGCACTTTATTTTAGGTGTTTAACATATGTGTTGGGAATTTTAGTTTGAAGTGAAGTGCTTTTTGGGTTTCATTTTTGCATTTGCATATGTTATCCATTTCCAGCGCTTGAAAAGCGCCCGTAACTTCAAAAATAAAATGGAGGAGGGCATGTCAGAATCCCTCCAAAATTAAGTTCCCACGTTATTTTTCCGAAACACCCCGTTATTTTCCCAAAACAAAGTCTCTTCCATTGCTACTATCTTATTTCTATCCCGAAGCCCAGAATCACCTCGTCTCTTCCAATCTTTTGCTTCTTTTCTATTTCATTGCTTTTTCTCTTTAGTTCTTTTCATTTCCAAAATCTCTGTTTCATTTCCGGAGTCTCTCCCTTGGGTAAGCAGAAACCCTAACCCAATTGTTATAGGTAAGCTTCAAATCTATCCATTAGGTTCCAGTGATTGTCGCTTCAATTTTGATTTTGATTTCTCTTCGAACTTGATATTCATTTTGATTTTGATTTCTCAGATTTTGATTTCGCGTTAGGATTTGTGTCTTCTCCTTCGTATCTCATCAAGTACTCTAGGTTTGTGTCTTCTTCTTAGATTTTCAAAATCCCCTGTTTATGATTCTGAAATTTGAGAATTGAACATTTGGGCGGTGGCGATAAGATGGTCAAGGTAACGAATCTCACTGTCTGGTTGTGTAGGAAAAAATCGAGGGAATAATTGGTAACGAATCTCACCGTCTGGAGGTAATTGTCTGCTGCCCATGGAGACTGACCTGAATAGGCCGTCGTTCCTCCCAAACTTCCTGAGAAAGGTGCTTCTGATCGGTGCTGTGCAGTGCAAGACCACTGGAGGTAATTATCTGCTTAATTCCATGGAATGTCTTGATTTTGGAGCTGCATTGCGTATACTGCTAAATTCAATAGTGCAGCAGTTAGGATAATTTGAGTGGTTGGAATTCTTTGAATGCTTGGTCTTAATATGTATTTGATATATATTAACTCCATCTATAATTGACACTCTCAAGAATTGACAGTGCCATAGACACTTTTTTTCCTTTCTTGATAGCTCACTTTATTGGTGATTTCGATATTAATTCAGAGTGAGGTGTTACCAGCTTCAAGCATGAATTTAGTTAAAGGAAATCCTAGATGGTTTCATAAGGTATACTGTGCTGGAGAAAACGGATGCTTTATATTATTACCCTTATCTCCATTTTCTTTTCTCCATTTGCTTGTTTCGGAGAAAACTGCACTCCACTTTGGCTCCTGATTGTGGTAGGATTAGTTTGAGTAATTATTTCTGCTGCAATCTTTCTTCTTTTTCCGATTTTGTTGCAGAAACTGTGAACTAAATTTGATCTTCACAACTCTTTTTGTTTAAAACGTATTAATGCAGGTATGAGCAGTTTGTACAAGAAGGAAAGCTATTGGAGGTAATTTCCTCACGCTTGGTCTTCATCAAATTTTCTTTTTTATAGAAACAAGTTTCTGTTTTGTTTGGTGCAATTCTAGGTATTGATTGATGTTTGATATTTTATATCTACCTGGGGGTAAGACTTGGACTTCGCATAGCATAGCATTTCTGCCTTCTCTTCAAGAAGAGATGATCAGGAGGCAGTTTTTGAAGCTGAAGAAAGACTTAAGGACATTAGGTATGACATTTCATCAGTTACATTTCATTCATGTAATGTTCATTGATTCAGATTTTGGCCTTCCTCAGCTCGTGTTTTTAAAACATTTCTTCAATCAAGCTGAAGCTAATTATGTTTCATGATCTGTAGAATGGATTTGACAATCATGATAGGATTTTGTGATTTATGTTTGTTCTTATGATACTTTTAGATTCTTGAATGTATTTTTCTTGCTGTTACTTGTTTAGAGAAGCTGAGGGTATAAAGGAAAGAGAGAATTATAGGTTGCATTTAGTTCTTTTCTGTATTCTTAGTGTGTATGTAATTAGCATTTAGTTCTTTTCTATATTTTCACTGTGCATCTAGTACAATGTGTGCGTGTTAGTTAAACTCATGATGGTTGTGAGTCCTGAATGGAATTTTTGCTATTTTTCTCAAAATGCCTCCGGTCTACACTTCCACATATGAAAACATTTATGCAATGTGGTTGTTTTTTGCTTCCAAAACTAATGGATTTGTTTAATCTATAGGGATGCAACTCTAGCATATAAAGCTGACGCTTTAGAGGTGCAGAGACAGCTTAGTCATTTACAGTCCCAATTTGACATGCTAACAGGACAAGCTTCAGCTTTGATCCAAGGGAGAGACATTCACGGGTTGCTGCAACATCTACTGTGGATGGATAGCTTTCAACCATGAATGGCAGCCTGTCAGCTAGAAATTTGCAGGTATAATATTGAAAATATCTTCTGCAATTTGATCAAAACTGAGTTGGGACATACTTTTCTATTTCTTTACATTGCTAAAAGAGAAATTCACTAGACAATGTAGTACATATGCTTTTTTGTTATAATTATTGAAAATACAAGCTATTATGTCTGCTTGCAATTAGAAAATTAATTATGGTAAACATGTCAATACGCGCTATCAACCATATGGTTGCGTCCAATGATAGTTGTGTCTAGAGGACCTTTTGAGTATGAAGTGTCTTGTATTGTATAACAGTAACCAATGATATTCCTTTGTCTTGATTGTTTCCAGAAAGTGAAATTATTTTTTACTCCTGTTTGGCATGGTGACTCTTTTTTGCGTGCATGCTAGCACACACATGACTGTAGCAGTTTCTATTATCTCTTCATTGACATGCATTGCTATTTGTTATCTGCTTTATGTGCCATCATCATGCGTTTGACTTTACCCCTCAATGGCATAAATATGTAGACAAAGTGTTAGTATGCAGAGTGCTTCTAGTTAGGATATTTGTGGTTCTCTATCATTTGAGTCCTGCTTTCTGCATGTTTGTTTGTTAGCTTATTGCCATGTCTTGCATGAATATATTTGAATCCAGAATTAAATAGTTTAGAATGCTTGAAAATAGAGTATGCCTGAAAATTAGGATAATTTTCTGACCCTAAAAGGTATACTCCAGGCGCAATTCTGGTGTTTGAAAATAACATAATTGCAGGTGCTTTCTAAAGTGCCTGAAAATTAGGTCATTGTAGGCCCTTTTTGGTTTTTGCAGGCACTTTATAAGTGCCTGTAAATTAGGTTATTGCAGGAGCTTTAGAAAGCGCCTGCAAATTAGATTACACAATGTTCGCCCACTGTAGTCTTCCTCGACACATGATGTGCAAGCCCCGTACAAGTGCTTTTTTAAGCGCTGGTTATAGTTTTGCAGGCACACAAAAGCGCCTGCAATCACCTCCTTTAAGCCACTGTAATCCCTCTTTTGATGGAAGCTGCTCTTGTATGAAAAATGAAGAGAAATGAATGAGAGAAAGGCTGGAAAAACGAAAATCCAGACCTATATTTTCATCACTGTCTTTTTCATAATCTGAGTTCTTGTTCTTGAATTTCATTCATCCAAAAATCCATCACTCTCAAAGAAGACGAGACATTTGGAAAGCACATTAGTAGGGTTAAGATGAGAAGTTGAACTAATTAGGTAAGAGGAGGTTCCATAAACCCATCTTCCTTTCACGCCGGTGCCCAGGTGATCTTTTTATTTTCCTCTTTTTAACGTTGATTTTAATTTGATATATGTATGATCGAAAAACTTTTGTAGAATGCTTGACCTTCCTAAATTATTGCTTAATTTGGTTTTTTAGAGTTTGGGATTATTGCTTCTTTTTTTCTTTTTTTCTTTTTTTAATTTTTTCCCTCGGAACAGTTGAACATTTTTCTCTTCCATGAATGTCCACCTTTTTTATGTTATGAATTTTTTTTAGTAGGATAATTTCTTCTTCTTCTTCTTCGTCTTTTAAAATTTATTTTTAATTTTATTTAAAATTTTATTTTATTTTTTTCATTACTATTATTTTTTTTATTGATGTTCACTGTAGAAGTGATCATAATTCGTTTTGACATAATGTTCTTTTGATATTTTGAGAGAAGGGATTCAAAACTGAGACCCTCTTAGAGGTGTGTTGACGATCACTTAAGATTTTTTCAAAACAAATTGAAAAATTAAGTATGAAAAATATCAAAAAAGAGGGAGTCGCCACTCATCCAAATTATAAGGTGGGACAAGTCACCTAAAACGGGTCTGCGCATCGGGGTTCGGGGGTTCAGTTAGGAGTGAGGAAGGGCATACGCGCACCTCACAATCCTCCGTTTAAACACGATTGCATACTTTAACATTGGGGGTTTTGAATCAACTTATTCATTATGTTTATATTTGAGTCTTAATAAACAAGCTTGAAAAAAGGGATAACCAAATTGCAACATTTTTAACATTTTGGACTAAAATGGACGAAAGCAAAGACATGCATGCACAATGAACACAAGTAAAAATTAAAGGGACTGATTTGATTAAAATAAAAATAGAGGACTGACTTGAAAACGTTTAAAACTTTTGGACTAAAGTGCTTAAACATGAAAAGTTTGTGCGAAATTGAAATAAAAGAGATAACTTTTGATTTTTTTACTTTTTAACCTTTTTAGTTTTTTTTTTTATTGGATTGGGTAGGGTTGATCCATCCAAAAACACGAACCCACTGACCAAAGTGGGCAAAAACAGATTAAAAGCTAGACAAAAATGAAATCTGGACAGAAACAGAAAGGATCTGGATTTTCTGTTTGGCCATCCAACAGAACAGAGCAAAGAAAGCAAGTAAACATCCATTCCAATTCGGATCCATGAAACTCAACAAACATGCTTGATTTCATTCGCAGTATCATCATCTAGTACAGTTTTAATAAAGCAAAACTCTATGACAATCAGAATCAAACAAGGTGAAATTTCTGGGAAAAAGCAGATTGAGATCCGAAGGGAGGGATCCCAACCACGGGATCAAGCTCCCTTCTTCTCCCTCACGGCTCTTCCCAAAAATTCCTCTGTTCAGAAATGACCTAAGGCAATGAAACCCAGAAAGTGAAACCAGAAAATGAAGTTCCTCTGGAAGCTCGGTGATCCTTCCTCTCAACCACCGTTGTTGCCCCCTTTCTTCTCCAGTAAATGCCCTTCTATTGCTCTCAAAACTCAGACGAAACTCCCCAACAAAAGAGACCCAAAATCAACCAACCATCCCCTTTATTACTCTTCTTTTGCCCTATATATATACCCCAAATGATAAAAATAAAAATAAAATGCAACAAAAGACAAGGGCCTTGCTCTGTCAATCAATGATGCCAATTTGTCCGGTACTC